TTGCTGCTACTGCTAAATTTCGAATCTTATTACATTGAATTTATTTATAATCACTGTAACAAATATCAATTAAGGTTAAGCTAAACCAAAATGCAGTAGAGTAAACGCTGCGGTTTTATTTGACGTGTCGTTTTAACGGTTGACACCAAGCATCGCCCACATGGGAAATCAACAACGTGTACTCTGCTCCGGCACTGCCAACGAAAAACACGTGTACAGCATAGTTGTCAAAACTCTCTGCTAGTAATTTCCATTGAAGTTTATTCATTACCTATCTTTATTATCTAGCCATTCCAAATATCTTGTACTCCAACGCGATTCCGATATTTATTTAATTGATTAGATGTAAACGATGACACTGTTAATGACACTAACTTGGTAAAGAGACTCAACTGTAAATATCAGACTAAATTAAAAACTTTAATATACCCACGACTGGGCACAGGTCTATGGTTGAAATAACGAAAGAGTGGCCTTTAGTAAGAGTTTATAATCTTCAAATGACCACAGTATATTTTTAAGTTCTTACACATGCACAACAACTATAAATAACAATAACAAATATATATAAATAAAATTGAAGTGTCTGTGCCATTGACACCATACATACAAAAGATAACCATTTTTAAATTTTGTCTGTCTGTCGAAATGGCATCAATGCACTTGGAATTAATATGTTCTTACGTACTAGAACAGCTTTTTTCAAGCAAAAATGTTCGTTATTTATCTTTGCGCATTCGCAGTATGTGTGTGTGTACTATGCGTGGGTGTGGTGCATGCGCGTTTGGTTTTTTATCATAAAATCAGTGGCGAAGCTTCCATTAAAGCCGAAAAGCCGGGCTTGCCTTATTAAACCTGAATCAATCAATAATACCAACTAATAAAATAACTCGTAAAATGTTTCAAGCTATTTCAAATTTCCCGCGCACTCCACTGTTCGACACATGTCGACCGATGACCTCGTATTGCCTTAGCGATACTGCTGCTGTCATAAAAAATGAGTTTTAATAGAGCTAATGGTTGTCTCCCTCGTTCGCGTGGGCTTTTTACGGGGCTTTCGAGAAGACGATCGCTCTCTTTCTAACCTATGGCAAAATATTCTATAGTGAAATATAACTACGATTGTATATATAGCAATTAGTATATAGTATATTTAAAGCCAGGCTTTTGGGAATAAATTTGCGTTGCGTTTGCAAGTTCATTTCACGTTTCAATGTTTATTTACTCTGTGTGCTTATCTTAAGCGATTTAATATTACGAGTTCAAAATTTATGCTTTTTTAAAGATTTTTAAGGAAAATGGAGAATAATAGTGTTCCTTGTGATGAATTGAAGTGTGTTAAAGTGATAATTGGAGAGCAAATCTTTAAACTTTGTTGATATAATACACAAGGTTAAGAGTGTATTTGAGTAAAACAGTTATTGGTACAATTAAAACGTTCACCAACATTTTACGTGGACGTAATTAAATCATTCCATAAGAAAGCGAGACGATTCCACTTATCTTATCTTATCTCTTATCCATTAGAATGTAAATATTATTTTTTAATTTTGTACATAGTTTGTTTGTACTTTATTCGTGTTTTACGTTTGTTCATGTATTGTATTGGATGTAATTTTTTTTTCTTTCGCTTAAACAAACCCAAACGGCTTTCTTCAAAGCCACCGAAGCTATGCAATTGCTGCTATGTAATACAATCTATCTAGCAGTGGTATGCCTTCTGTGTGCTTTGTTAAACACGTCCTCCAAAGCGTGGAGACAGATCAAGATTGGTGTATTTTTATAAAACTGCTAAAAACAACAATCTATATTTTTATCAATTTATATCTTGGGATTGCCCTAGCTTGAAGCTCTAGCTTCGCCACTGCATAAAATAAGTAGTCGGGAGAATGTTGTGTAAATACCTAATTAAAAATACAATCTGTTATTACATAATAATTTTTTACATACATACAATATAATATACATACATACAATACAATTACATAAAAAAAGTAAATTATATCGAGTACAATTTTTATATATTACATGATATTATATCACAATTATATTTTAAAGAGATTTTTATCTGAATATTTTAAAAGGTAACTATGCCAATTAAAAAAGCATACTAAATGTAAGCTTAACAAAACTATCATCATTAGAGCCCTTAACAAGTCCACTGCTGAACATAGGCCTCCCCTGAGGAATGCCACAAAGCACGGTCCTGAGCCACCTGCATCCATAGACTTCCTGCATGTCTTACCAGGTCGTCACTCCATCTAGTGGGGGTGGGGGGCCGCCCTACTCTACGTCTACCGGTACGAAACAGCCACTCGAGAACCTGTTTTCCCCATCGGTTGTCGGTTCTTCGAGCTATATGGCCAGCCCATTGACACTTCAGCTTAATAATCCGTTGGGCTATGTCGGTCACTCTGTTCTACTGCGGATATCCTCATTTCTAAGTTTACCACGCAGAGAAACCCCGATCATAGCCCTCTCCATAGCTCGCTGAGTGACCTTGAGCGTCCTCATTCGGCTAGCAGTGAAGGACCACGTCTCAGATCCGTAAGTCATCACTAGCAACACGCACTGATCGTTCAATCTAGTTTTCAGGTTTTGAGGTAGGTATACCTGATGAGAAGATGTGTCGTAATTTCCCAAACACTGCCCAACCGAATTGAATCCGTCGATTGACCTCTCAGTCGAAATTGGACCTACCTAGTCGGACTACTTGTCCCAGGTAAACGTACATACTCGTCAACAACTTCGAGCTTAGTGCTCCCAACAACTACCGGCATAGGTGTGACATGGACATTAAACATGATCTTTGTTTTTTCCATGTTCATCTTAAGACCTATCCGTTGGGAGACACTATAGAGGTAATTGAGCATAGTGCATAAGTCCCCCAGCGATTCTGCTATAAGGACTATATCTTCGATAAATCGAAGGTGAGGGTTGTACTCGCCATTGATATTAATACCGTATCCTTCCTAGTCCAGTAGCTTGAAAATGCCTTCCAACTAATTAATGTTACATTTAAATTACAAATAGATTTTATACATTAGAATAGAAGTCGTTCATAAATGCTGGGCATGCGAGAGTTAAAAATGGACAAATTTACGCCAATTGACTTGGATGTTGAAACCTAAAATTATAATAAAATAATAATGAGCAAATGTAAATACAATAAATTTAGCCTAATTATGACTACAAAAAATGTGCATAATATAATCGTTATATACATAAGTACCCATAGAAATGTCGCGTCTGAGAAAATTAATTTCATAATCTATATTCCAAGACACGAGATGAATTCTTAGGGATAATTTGTTTTATTATTAATCTGTAATACTTTTTCATTAATTAAGTTCATAATTCACCGATGAAAAGTTGTTCTTTCGTATTTGCTAACATTTCTGGAATTATTTGTGCAATATAAAAAACACAGCATGGCGTATTTTTATCAAGAGATTTTTTTTATATAATCAACCAACACGTGTTAACTCAATAGTTCCTAGCGAGTGACTGTGTAAGTGCGGCGATAACGCCGCAATTGAATGGGACAGCACAACTAAATACAGTGTCGAGTCTAGTACGTAGTACATAATAGCTCAATATCAATGCAACTTCGTGATCAAATAAAGAGCTGTGCCAGAAGTAGTCTAGGCTATATTTTGTCCAAAAAACATAGAGATTTTTTGAGATATCGAAAAATCGTTAAAATAAATTGGCCTTGATTATTACCTTACATTTAAATAAGGTCACATTTATATATTCCACCCAGGCGATGTCGCGGGTAACTAATTATACTATAATATTAAATGCAAGCAATTGTAGGGCCCTAAGCTAGCACAGCTTTTTACAGATTTTTAAATGTATTCGGGGAGTACATTAATTCGGCAGAATTAACTACCTAATTCCATTTCGTCTACTTAACTTTGTTTTTTTCGATGGTCTTTCTATACGACTGTGACTTTTGGTTAATTGAACATTATGAAAATTGAAAAACGATCGTGACTAAGCACGCTAATATATGAAAGAGACAAATATTAACAAATGAGCGCTTAATATTGCAGTAGCTATGCGTTTGGCTGCAGTTTTATGGGCTGCTAGTTCGACCCAGGCACGGAACAAGTATTTCCATTTTTTTATATACTAGAGGGGCAAACGAACACACGGTATTGGTCCGGAAATATCGCCGGTGGTAAACTATTCCACAGAGAAGTAGTACGCGGAAGAAAACTCCTGGTGAAACGTACAGTGGTGAACCGCCAAGCAACCGGACGATGTGGATGGTATCGGGAGGTTTAGTATTAGCGTAGTGTGTTTGATGAAATTTGGGCCAATTTATGTATGAACACTACATTGCAAAATAACTAAATAAAATATTTATATATGACAAGATCATCATCATCATTATTACAGCCTTTTACAAATTCATTGCTGAATGAAGGCCTCCCCCAAGGCATGCCACAAAGCACGGTCGTGACTTCCTGCATGTCTTACCAGGACGTCACTCTATCTACTGAGGGGTAGCCCTACAATTTGCCTACCGGTACAAGACTACCACTTGCTAACCTTTTTTCCTCATTGGTCGTCGGTTCCTCGAGCTAAATGGCCGGCCCATTGCCACTTCAGTTTAGTAATCCGTTGGGTATTGTGGATCACTCTCGTTCTACTGCGGATATCTTCATTTCTAAGATAAGGTTATCTTATTTGTTAATAATATATTATTTGCATGATGAATTTACAAGGCTAATATAACATTACCACATTCAAGAAAGGATTATACAAAAACCAAGTTCATCTGTTCAAAATAAAAATAAAAAGATTTTATGATATTTTCTAAATGCATTTTATATGATTATTTTGTAAAATAAATTAACATTGTGAAAATATATTTTTACTGTTTCAATACGAAAGCAGAAAGATCTTATAACTTATTTCACTAAAACTACTTTTTGCATGGGATCGTGTTCATATTTCAGATTCTTGCTTCGAAAAAATCTCAGTTTTATTTAATATTGCTTCAAGATATCAAAAATGTGTTTATAAACCAATTCAGGTGCTTCTTCGCCCCATACAAAATCGAAGTGACTGAATTCTTTAGACGTCTTTTGCACTATGTGATGGACGACAGGGTTTGGAATGTAAGACAAAAACTTAATAATGTCAGGTACCGTAGATAACCAGTCATCGTGTGAACTGAAAAGTGCGACTGGTAATTTAATTTCTCTTAAGTGATATTTCGGTGGAGACGCAATTCCGTATTTTTTTATATTCATTGTCGAGCCACCATCAAACATTTCAAATCTACCACTGCTTATCAACTGACCAAAATGCATTATTGTTTTAGTAGAACCTCCAGCTGGCACATGTGCTAAAATATTTTTCATACGTGTACTGTCGGATATCACCTTACCACCGTCTGATAGTAGAAGTAAAGGGTTCTCACACAATTTTATATCACCTTTGCAAAATTTCCTCGTTAAAGCTTTTATGAATTTTTCTGATGGGATAAATTGATTTTCACCTAAAATCTTCAATGTTGCATTATAGTCCAAACTTTGTAGTTCCGATATTATGCGAAAGGGGCCTTTAGCTTGTTGCATAAATACAAGTGGTGCCAGTAATATTACTAAATTTAGAATAGTATTATACTGGGGCGATGTCGATAGAAGAACTGTTAAAGCAGCAGCACCCATTGAATGAGCTACAAAATATATTTGAGATTTTACCAATGTGTTTTCTTTCACGTAATCTATTATAGATGATAAATCATATAATCCAATTTCATGCCAAGAAAAATCCCAATATTCCGATGAGTATACACTTTTAGTAACATGAGTTTTTGAATATTTGTTTCCTCTAGCATTAGCTAACCATACATCATAACCAGCATCGTTCAACAAATAAGCAAGCGAATGGTTGGGGCCCAGTAAAATCCAATCCACAGAGCTACCCAAGAGTCCATGATGTAGAATTATTGTTCTATTTTTATTTCGTCTTTTCGTCTCCACTCGTCCTGGTATTCTATGAAGAGTTAACGTGTATCCATCGGGTGTTACAACATTATGTGCTTCAGCTATGTAACCGTGAAGATTTGTCACGTCAGACAATAATGAATTACTAAACGTCCCAATATGTTCTGAACGACGAACCGGATTTTTTGGCATTAAAGTTGTTGTTGTCGTTGTCGAAGTTGTTGTAGACGTTGTTGTTGAAGTTGTTATTGGAATTGATGAAGTACCCGATATTTCATTTTTTGATCCTATATTACCTATAGGCAGTTGTTGCATGACAGTTCCAACCGAGTCCTTAAAAAATGTTGTAAATATTTTTTTTATCTCTTGCCTTTTTGCTTCGATTTTACATGTAGATGATGAAAAAAAGGATCTTATGTCATCTCTCAGTTTTATCACAGAATTTAATGCACCACCACAAAACTTTAAAAGTATACTTTCAAATGCGTTCAATTCAACTGGAATAGGATTAATGGTAATTATAATAAAAATATAAAGAAAGAAGACGTTCGTTACAGCTATCGACATTGTTTCGTTTGAAATATTATATACATTTTTATTTCAGATTCTTTTTTGGCGCAAAGGGCCTCGTCTTATTTTAATAATAACTTATTAAGACAATGGAGTAGTTTTGAAATAATAAAGACTTATAAAATCCAAACATTATGAGCGACTGCTTTTACTCATACCCTTTGTCAAATTGTATATTTTATAAATACTAAGTATGAATATTTTGTGGTGCTTTTTTATCGCTCAAATTCTAAGAATAGCCATTCAGCTAGGCAAGGCGGCCAGCGCTATTGACACTACACCGCGGGGAGTAGTGCTATTTAAGATATGAGGATTGTGACGGAAATAAACTAGTTTTACTTGGGTTTTATTGTCGTATTCAATATGTATAACACACACTTAACACGTAAAGTTCAAAGTCTATGGTATAAATATTTATAATGAATATAAGAAAACATTAGGAGGACTATATGATGATTCTAGATTTTGATTTTAGTTTTTTTTTTTTGTAGTAATAATAAGTTTTGTTGTAATATTGTGTAATATATGTATAAGAGGCGACAGAGGAAACAAACAAAAGACGCTGCAACCCAGCTCCTACAGAAGTACGATAATAGCTATAAAATAATAAAGACTGTGATTGCCAATCCGCCGGTCTAGCATAGAAAAAATCATCACTTTATTTCTACTTCTCCTTTGGATCCCACAGTTTGTTATACAACAATAGCTTCCATTCAATCCATGGTTCTCCTCCTATTCTTTCTTTTCACTTCTTACCTATGACTGAGAATGAGATTCATAAATCAGTATTTGCTATTAAATCCAAGGCTGTAGGTTGCGATGAGGTTCGTGAGGTTATGGTATCCATGATCCTTGAGTGCAAAAGGTACTGCAATCACACATATTATAAAATATTCCCTAGACTCAAGCCAATATCTTTTTCGACTATTTTCAATATTATCATACCCATTTAAAGTTCTGGAAGCCTGTGTGCATCAGCAAATCTCTATGGCCATAACCAAACCCATCCTGTTGAATAAATATCAGTCAGGCTTTTACTCAGGTCACAGTACTGTTGCGCGCCTAAGTTGACGTCATGTACCCGGCACTAGCGCCATCTAGTGTCGGGGACGAGAGAAGGGGGAACTTTCCAGAAAATGACATCAATAATCTTTTAACCGACAGCGCCATCTAGTATCGAAACGAAGAACTAAGCTTCTAGAAGCCGACACTCGAACTTTCGTTGCCTTATAGTTAAATTAGTTCGTTCGTCTCGTTAAATTTATAGGTGCTGCAAGATGCGATCGGGGAAGTATTGAATTTGGCGAGACAAGCGAAGTTTCGGAGCGGAATAAAGTAAATCAGTGTGATTAATTATTAATGTTTTAAGTTTAATTAGTGTAAAGTGAATTATAGAGTTAATTTTGGTGATTCTATCGGCAATTTTTAATTGTCACGAACGTCAAGCTCGTAACAATTGGTGTCAGAAGTGGGATAAAATTATGCCGATTTTACCTAAGGAGGAAACGGAGGGTGTCCGTACCCGCAGTCAACGCCAGCATGAGATGGACCAGAGACGATTTGGTGGTGCAAAGCCGCAGACGTCGAAGGGCCAGCCGCCGGCAACGGAGGCCGGTCCGTCAGTAGCTCCTGCATCTGCAGCACCTGACTTAGGTACTCTGATGGTGATGCTGCAGGAGCAGGCCCGCCGACAGGAGGAACAGGCCCATCAGTTGAAAGAGCAGCAGGAAGAACAGGCCCGTCGCTTAGAAGAGCAGCTCAAACGCGATAGGGAAGAGCAGATGCTTTTCATGAAGGACCTTCACGCTACCTTCGGGAAAGAGATAAGGGAGGTGAAGGATAAGGTTGCTCGACATGATAGCCGCCTGTCGGAAGCTGAGACCCAAATCAACCAAGTTAAGAAAACCCGGTATGACCGCAAAATGAACAATAAGGGGTTCGACGAAGGTTCACCAGTGTGGTTGCACAATCCAGTCCGCAGCAAAGGGAAATCTCCTAAGCTTCAAGCTAAATGGGACGGCCCGTACCGGATTGTAACCAGGATCAACGATGTAACCTACCGGATACAGAAAGGCGCAAGAGGGACTCCTAAGATCGTCCATGTGGATCGCTTGGCGCGTTATTATGGGGCCGATAATGCTCGGGACGAGCATTACTTAGGAGGGGGCAGTGTGGCGCGCCTAAGTTGACGTCATGTACCCGGCACTAGCGCTATCTAGTGTCGGGGACGAGAGAAGGGGGAACTTTCCAGAAAATGACATCAATAATCTTTTAACTGACAGCGCCATCTAGTATCGAAACGAAGAACTAAGCTTCTAGAAGCCGACACTCGAACTTTCGTTGCCTTGTCGATTGATTCGCGTATTTACTTGATATTTTATTTAATATTCTGGATGTTTCGGTGATAATGTGTATTTATAGGCGCTGCAAGATGCGATCGGGGAAGTATTGAATTTGGCGAGACAAGCGAAGTTTCGGAGCGGAATAAAGTGAATCAGTGTGATTAATTATTAGTGTTTTAAGTTTAATTAGTGTAAAGTGAATTAAAGAGTTAATTTTGGTAATTCTTTCGGCAATTTTTAATTGTCACGAACCTCAAGCTCGTAACAGTACTATCACTGCCTCGATAAAAGTCACCGACGACATTATAATGTAAATGAATGAGCAGAAGCTTACAGTGGTAGTGCTTGTTGATTTTCCAAATGCTTTTTTGCACAGTTGACCAAGATATCTTTATAAACTTCCTAACTAATTTTACATTTTCAATATCAGCTTTGGAATGATTTTCATCGTATCTTCGCGGCCGTCAGCAATCAGTACGATTAGGACAAAAGTTCTCAACATGGACTGACATTGCACAGGCGTGCCGCATGGCGCAATACTTTTTCCTATAATTTTTTATGCATAAATGAGATGGCCCAAATTTGTATGAAGCGTAGGCCTAGTTTTGTACAGGTAGGGATATAAATTAAAATAGTATATTACACCACTTTTGGTCACTCAAATCCATGAATTTGACATTATTTCTGTGGTATTGATATACTACAAGTGTCCGATATCACGAAATCATGACGCCCATAAAACAAAAGCCGAGTCAGAACAAGTAATAACAGTCCCAAAGTCCATATAAAAAAAAACAAATCGCCAAAAAAATCCAAAATAAACACAATACATTCACGTTCACAACTACACAAACAAGCTTGGAATAGAAAATATAATATATCACACTACCGACATTAAAAACAAAAATAAAATATTTTAATTTTAAATGTTGTTTTTTATTAATTCCCAATGATCAATTTAAAAAATGTTCCCATATTACAAATTTTATTACTTAGTCAAATTTTCTCCTTTTCTACATTAATGGCAATAAGTCGCTATTTAAGGAAGGTACATTTATCAATTATAAAGTCTACATGAAACCGACATTATTGTAAAATTATTGGTCACCCATACATTCATACATTTTTTTCATACTCAAGAGGTTTGAACTTAGCTTAAATAATATTTTTTGCATGTTTTTCAGAAATAAATTAATTAGCGATTTTTTTAAATAAAAACTGCAAAAGCTATTCATACTGTTTACTTTTTATCTATCAGCACAGTTAGTGTATAATAATAAAACAACAAAAACCCAATAGAAATCATTCATTCTTGGTCACAGTGTTCAAGAAAATAAAATAAGATAGAAAAAAATCGACTTTTCTTTAAAAAAATATATATACTTACTTACTTACTTATCTTCACGCACAATCCCTAACGGGGTAGCCAGAGAGAACAGATCGCCAAGTGTCACGATCCTTACATACCTCTTTCGCTTCCTTCAGGTTCATTAACTTCTTCATACGTGCACGTCTAGGTATCCGAGTACTCTTGACCCTCCCCTCTTCGAGCAATTTGCTCACATGGTCTTCGAAAGTTAGTCTCGATCTACCTCGACACCTTTTAATATTTACTTTCGCTCTATATATTTTCTTCACCATTCGGTCTTCACTCATTTGTTCAACGTGCCCAAACCATTGGAGTACGCCCCTATCAATTTTTGTGATAAGGTCATCTTTCAATCCTGCCATATTGCGAATCTCTTCGTTTCGCTTTCGGTCGGCTAAGGTAACGCCACACATTTTACGAAGAGATCGCATCTCCACTGCATTCAACTTGCTTTTATGCTTCTTCTGGCATACCCAGGTTTCGCTGCCATATAACAAAGTCGGTACCAACACTGCATTATATATTGCAAGGCGTGCACTCTTCACCACGCCTTGCCTTTTTACTAATGCATTCAGGGCACCATTGACTTTGTTTCCGGCAGCGACACGCCTATCCACATCTAAATCACATCTTCCATCCCGGCTGAAAGCACTCCCCAAGTATACAATTTCATTTACCTGTTCTAGACATTCCTGATTTACCCATATTTCACATTTCGTTCTCTCTTCATCCTTTTCAAATACCAGAACCTTAGTTTTATTAGCATTCAAACGGAGACCTTTAATTTCACATTCCTCTTTCATACACGTGACTAATGCCTGCAGTTCTGATGGTGCAATAAGCACTGCATCATCAGCATACAGCAGACAATTAACTTTTATGTCACCCAATTTCACACCCAAACAGCTATT